CCGTCTCCAGCCATTATTAGTTTCGTTTAGTTGTTGTTTAGCACAAAGCTACATAATGGCCTATCTGTGCTTACCCACCACGAGTATTGAAACCTGATTTTTAGCGTCGTAAGCCTAAAACTTAGCGTTGAGAGACTAAAGGGCATCCGTGTTAAGATAATACACTAACACAAGATAATTAATATATGATAATAAACACTGTATTTAAAATTAGTTTTATTAATAGAGGGTATTTAGAAAGTGAGGATAAACACTATATGTAAAGATAATGTCATTAACATAGGTTACTTAACTGGTGGAATAAGTATTGGTGTAAATATGGTGTCACTGACACTAGATACTTAAGAAGTGACAGTAGTTATTGTATGTGTAAAGACAAAGTCACTAACATAGGATATTTTATATACAAGAATAATTTGTGTATATAAAGATAGTGCCAATAACATCGGATACTTAACAAGTAAGAATTATTCTTACACACTAAAGATAATGTCACTAACATAGCATATTTAATAGGTAAGAATAATTAGCATGAGTAAAGATGATGTCACTAACATAGCATATTTAATAGGTAAGAATAATTAGCATGAGTAAAGATAATGTCACTAACAAGCATATTTAATAGGTAAGAATAATTTGCATGAGTAAAGATAATGTCACTAACATAGCATAGTCATACAAATTATTCTTACCTATTAAATATCCTATGTTATTGACATTATTTTTACTCATGCAAATTATTCTTACCTATTAAATATCCTATGTTAGTGACATTATCTTTACTCATACAAATTATTCTTACATATTAAATATCCTATGTTAGTGACATTATCTTTACTCATGCAAATTATTCTTACCTATTAAATATACTTGTTAGTGACATTATCTTTACTCATACAAATTATTCTTGCCTATTAAATATGCTATGTTAGTGACATTATCTTTACTCATGCAAATTATTCTTACCTATTAAATATGCTTTGTTAGTGACATTATCTTTACTCATGCAAATTATTCTTACCTATTAAATATGCTTGTTAGTGACATTATCTTTACTCATACAAATTATTCTTGCCTATTAAATAAAGATAATGTCACTAACATAGCATATTTAATAGGATTCAATAAGATTTGTGTAAAATTATTATTAATAATGTGAATGAGTGTTATATTTACATTTAATTGTATAAATCGTAAGTTATTGTTAAAGATTACACAATATGAGAATTATCCCAGCACTCTGGACACACGCACTGATTGCCTGCCTCAGGAAGGGTGGATGCGGATGATGCCACCAAAGACAATTACATCATAGTTCTAAAAAATGTCACCAGAGGAAGAGCTGTTAAAGGCGCGTTGCTAGGTTGCCATGGCGTCATAGTTCCATTGAACCAGAAAGAATTTAATCAAGATGTCTCACATGACTATGTTTAATATAATTAGTTTAAATCACTATCTCATTAATTAATTACATCTTCTGACCACTTATGTCATCCTTAAAAGGACGCTTATCAATCATTTATTACTTAATTACATTTCTCTATCATATATGTGTAAATCATCCTAAAAAGGATGACAGGCGGCTATGACGTCTTGTTCCACAAAATGCCACCAGAGGGTAAGACTAACTTATGGGGGTTGAAATGATAGTTCGAGACCAGACAGATGACCATGATGTCATAGTTAATGAATTCTCCTAACCGTTTAAATCGTCCCATAAATGACGCTTATCACTAATTTATTAATTACCTTTTCTGACCATTTAAATCGTCGTAAAAGAACGATATCCTGAAAGGTATTTAAAAATTAGAATTTCATTTATTATTATATCAACCATTACTATTGGTAACAAATTTTCTGATAAATTAATAAATACAAGAAGTATTCCAGAGGGCTCTGTTCTAGAACAACTGTTGTTATTACTATAATATGATAATGATATACCAAATTTATTATTCGATAAAAAAGCAATTTAATTTACAGACGATATAAATATTATAGCTCATAATAACAATGTAGGATCTTCAGTTGAAATATTTAATTTATCAAGAGGTAGGCTAACTTATTGGTTTATTGATTGTGGTTTTTTTGTAAGTCACAAAAATACTAAATTTATACTTTTTCGCCAACAAAAATACTAACAATAATAAGGTAAATTCCCAAATAAATGGAGTAGTGCTTGCAATCTGTTCATAAGCAAAGTGTTTGAGTATTACCATTGATGATAAATTGATTTGAGCACATAATAATTATTAGGAAAATTGTTGCAATGTATATAAATTAACAAAACAAAAAGACTAGTTTGTAGGAAATATTTGATATACACTTTATTTACCTACCTTTAATGTATGTAAATTCTTCTTGGAATATAATATTAATCGTCTGTTGCTTTTCAAAGTAAAACGAGAATAATTGTGGGTTTAAACTGTCGAGGTACTGTGTACGAGTTATTTCATACTTAGTATGCAACACGTTTTTAAAAATAACACGGACATTCAGTGTCATCATACAAGGATTAATGGTAATATAAACATAACATTTTCAAAACAGTTGGAAGATCAATGTTCAATAACATATGTGATGTAAAAATTTGGAATGCTACACCTAATAATTAAGAATAATGAACTCATTAAAAAATAAGTTATACAATAAACTGTTTATTAAATATATTATTTAATTGGTTATTTTTATAATTATTTTAAAACATTATGATACTCTTGTCACTTTGTAGTATCTAATATATCACATGCTGTAATATTTTACTTATATAGATGTTTCTTTTTTTTAATTAATAATGCTCCTCTCCCATTAGGGGGGGTGCATTTTGTGAAAACATTCTTCCTGTTTCCTTTTTGTGTCTCTTTTCATGAAGTGTACTAGATTAAAGGTAGTTAAAACTATTAATTATTTACAATATATTGATCAATTGAATAAAACGACAATTATGGAGCTTCTTAACACTTACTTCCTCGCCATCGAACTTCTTGAGAACCCTCTTTTTATTCCGTTTGTGATGGTTGATTGGAACTTCCATAAGTTCCACCAGGTGGCGTCTAATCCTTCCATTCGGTAGGCTCTCGTCATTGGCAATGCCACTGACAAAGACTTCATAATGTAAATGGCACAAAGAGTCTATGTAAAGCCATACTTGACCCGTTGCTGAGTTATTCCCATGAAGAAGGAAAGGATGACCTGATCAGATTGGACAATATAAAATGGTAAATGGTCAATGTAAACGTTCCAGGAGAGCCATACCTTATTTTGCTTCTTATCAAAAGCCTTAACCCTTCACGTTGTCAGTAATGCTAACTTCTTATCAAATTTTCTAAGTGTAAACAGATTATATTTGTGTAGGATTTTTTTGGAATCTCAGTAAATAGCTGTATACGATACAACAACAATACTACAAACGAATCAAAGTGAACGTGAAAGAAAAAACTTTCTAGACTAGGTCTACTGCATTAAGTGAGAATTATTTATTAGTAAATTTAAAGACAAAACTTCTGAAATGGAATAAATAATCACTCTAAGCTAGATGGAGGTTAGTGATGCACAACAATATAAATCTGTATTAAATGTCACTAAAATAACACGATAAGTGGAAACAAAGATAAAAAACCCATCAAGTATCACGAAAACTATCAATATACTGTGAATAGAAGAATCAAAGTTTGTTTAGGTGAGAAACTCTTGACACTGCATGAAAAATAATAATGAAACAACAAAAATATGTCAGAATGAAATCTTATATTATTTCTATATTTAGTTTAATTAACAAATAATAATAGAAGACCCCAGAATGTAGCTAAAACACTAAAAGGTTTTGTAATAGGATTGTTAAAGGATCAGATTTAAAATACGTAGGTAGTTATCAGGGCACTCTAAACGAGTCATCAGAGGGCGCTGCTGCTGATAGTTACGTAATAGTAATATACACCCGAGTGTTACGTAATATTCACGTGAGTGTAACATAATATACACTTGAGTGTTACGTAAAATACACCTCATTGTTGTATAACATACACTTAAGTATTACAAAAGTATTATGTAATAAGCAAACGACATGTAGTTTCTGTGTGACTAACCAGAGAGCGTGTTGCTAGGACGCCATGACAAGAGGATGTTGTCTTAACAACGGAAATTGTCTAGAGTATGTTATTATCTTAGGACTACCTAGTAGCACCAGAGGGCGTGGCTAATATAGGTAGGGGTGATATCATAGTTCGATGCCAGAGGGTTTGCTATTATAGGTGGATACTGCTATTTAGGTTTCTATAGGAGTTCTATAAGTGGATTATGCACGCTTTAGAAAGACAGATAGTGTTTCTGTAGGCAGACAGGGTTATAATTACAAGGCAGATGAACTCAGCATAGGGTGTCTCAACATGTTATCAACGTGTAGATTTAACTGTAGGTACTACGTAAAACTAATATTTTAACGAGACAACTAATAGAGCATATTATTTGAATTGTTATCTGTTTATAAAACTTCAATAATTCATTAGTTTTGCTTCTATATCTAATCATACTTTTTGCATTTCCTGACATTTTATGTGTAAAATGCTTTCATTGACATATCACATTCTGACAAGGATAATTATATAAATCTCTAAATAATTTAACATCCATTTTCACTTTATAAGTATATATACACAATATAATGCATGCTTAATTTATAATGTTGGACTTAAATCGAATTCTTATGTTAATCCTCTATGAATGGTTTCAATCATATCTATAATTTGAACACCTGTAATCAAGCATTTTGCTACAACTAAATATAATAAATGAATGACTTACTGTTTAACTTTACTATTATAAAAACAGCAATACTTACCATTCACTTGAAGTACTATACAATTAAAATTCATAAAACTTTCTGATTTTAAATTACTTTCTTCTTCATTAGACATTGAAATAAAGCTATGTCTGATGTCAAGACCTTGTTTCTTAGGAAATACATAGGTTGTCACGTGGTCACTTTCTTACAAACAGTGTGGGCTATCTCAACATATCAGCTGACGGCAAGATTAGAAAGATTTGACCCTTTGTGTCAACTAAGGCTAAAACAAGTAAAGCTTTCATTTCTACAAACCATAAATTATATTTACGTATCTTTCGAAACTCCATTCTATGTGCATTTAAACGCATTGGTTTCAAAATGCATTTTTCACAAATGAACTTAATTGAAAAAGACTTTTAATTAAAATTCTTCGATTATTTAAAAGATATTTTCCTCACGTGGATTTGGTATCTTTCACTTTATAGAAAGGTTATAAATTGTAAATCAGTAAAATTAACAAATATCATATATAATTAACAAAACTTCTAATATACTATAAGCATTATAGTTTATAAAATACTGGATTAGTTTTCATAGAAATTATGTTCATATCACTATTTGTTAATTCCAACTCAGTATGTAAGATTTTATATAGGTCATAAATAATAGTGAACAATTCCTGTAGTTTAAAAGTTTTATATACTCCACTTAGTAAGATTAAACTGTGCCAGAAGACGTGGAAAAACTTTTTCAATAATGGAAGATTGATTCAATTCTACTTTTAATATTTACATAATAATATGAAATGTATGATATTTTAATATACAATGAATAGTATTGTTTAGACAGAAGTTCAGTCCAATTATTATTTTAAATATCTCATGTTATAATGTTTCAAACTAACACATATTTTGAAACAGTGTTGCTATATATCCAGATAATGTTTTCAAATACTGTATGACGAGGTCCTTAACAGCTACATGACAAAAGTCAGTTCTGTATTGACCAAGACTGTTTTGCAATATACACTGAATTTAAAAGTCAGTAAACATAGTGATACAAAACACTGAATATGCATTCAATATTTGACGGGACATTTCAGTTAGTGCAAAATTCTTCTGTACTTTCTATTCAATTAGACTCCATAAGTTAATTATTCACCTTTCAAACAAATGTATGTAAGTAAAATCATAAATTATAAATAGGAATGATGACTTACTTCAACATACATAATTGATACTTGAAACCATCATTACTTGGTGAAATGCTATAATTACAGAATTGAGGGAAAAGAAAATTATTGTACGTTTCACAAATACATCATTTATTACGACAATGGTTTTGCCAGTAAAGGCATTATCAGGTACAGACTGAAATGTTTTTTTAGCAGGGTTTATATATATGTTTAAACAAAGAACAGGAAGTGACCTTGACATTCACCTAGAGACAAGAGGAGAGGAGCTTAAGTTGGTTTGGTGTTTAGAACTTTTTCTGGATTTGTTTTTAGACATCTATTTATGTCTAAAATTTCCAAGCTGTCTAGTTTTTTACCTTTTTCACAGATGTGTAAAACTGTGCAGTTTTTTTCTGGATCAAATTGGTCTTTAGTCATAGACCACCCATGACCTTCTCCATCTCTTGTCGCTTTGCCGGTGCTATTCTTCTTGGAGGAATCTTTATTGGACGGTGATTGCCTGTGTTTATTCTGTGCTCCACGAGGTCGGTGCAGCCGAGGTCATGATCTCCTTTTGAAAAGACGTCTGTATAATTCGCCAAGAGTTCCCTAACTTGAAGAGCCTGTGATGATGACAGTTAAATGTTCTGGGAGTGTATGTCCTTTCTTTATTATTGTATTTCTTGCTTTAATATTGACTGGCTCTACCTCCTGGCACACACCCAACAACGCCCCTTCCTTAAGTGTCTGCTCACATTTAGATAAGTTGGTCACTGTTATAGGTACTACTTGATGGCCTGCCACAAGTGACCTTCCAATCTTCAAATCCGCTGGCCTGGATGGGTCTTCCACAAGCTTCTTTGGGGATGTTCTTTTATCCTACCCCAAATTATCTTCTCTAACATAGGGGGTATTGTAGTTGACTTAAGTACTGTGACATGCAAATCAACAGATGTAGCGAAGTATAACTTTAGTTGTTTATGTACTTTTTATTGTAGCATTTATTTTGTTTTGGATATTTCTTATAGCAATTCTACGAATAACCAATGATCCCTACTTTCCGTTAAAATTAAATGTTTTTTTCCTATTTATTGTAAATATAAGAATTGAAAATATTTTTCATCAGTAGAGGTGGTATGAACAATCATAACTTTCTCTTTTTAAGGTGTGTATTACGTAGTACTCAGGCGGCAGCGCTCTCTGGTGGCGCATCTAGAGTGTCCGGATAACTACTTATGTAAGTTCATTAATACATAACTAAATGGCAAGACAGTGACGCATCTGATAAGTTAGTATTGATTCACTGAAGATTTGTTTATAGAATTATAATGTTATAACTATATCCATTCTGTTCATCTAGTAAGCAGGTGCAAAGAATAAACTAAGTTTGTTTGTTTTTTATGTTGTTAATCAAATTCCCAAGCAGGTTGATCGATCCATCACTACTGCCAGCGTAGTGTGTCTCCTACTAGTCAGAATTGTATTATGTATGGCCAATGTTATTAACAAGTAGGAGGTACATATATAGCAAGGTGTCGACATACTGAAAAAAAAATGATATTCCTACAAATTCCAATCACGAATTGTACTGCCGTATCTTATAGATGTAATGAACTTTAAAATTCGTGTTTTTCACGATCTAATGCTCAAGATCTGCACAGAATCATGTATAACGCTTATGGCAACAGAAAGTAGAGATGCCTTAAATATATTATAAAAAGACTCGTGCAGGTGTTTGGTAAATAGGTTAAAGTAAACCACTACAGGCTTCTAGTTTAGGAAATAAAAATGGTCGCGTATAAAATATAATGGAAGTCTATGCTAAGTAGTACTTTCAGACAGTATCAAAAGTAATTGATAAGCCTATCCTGTCTCTTTCTCTATCTTTAATAGCCACGGAACCTGTGGTAAGTCCTTCGTCAGGCTACAAATATATACTAAAGGAGAAGATGACCTGCAAAGAACATATTAATATCTTGCTAGATCATTGTTATTTACATTGATTGATGACATAAAGAAAACAGAATTCTTCAAAAGCGTTAAGAGCCGGGAAGAAAACCGATATTCGAAGGAAACAAAAAAAATTGAATTTTATACATGTTTGTGGTTCCAGAGGTAGATATTCGCTTAATTTTAATGGTTAATGCTCTGTAGAAATAAGATAATATAAACGTTGTAATGATTGAAGTGCCATCATAGTCTAGAAATCCTTTTCCGCGATGGTTGTCGTACACAAAACTTTCCTATTTTGCAACTTTCTTTTATATATAGAAATAAGTAAATCAAATGTTGCTTCTCTTCAAGCCTTAATATCAGTTTATGATTACTCTCTGTATTCTTACACACAGTATCTTGTTTTAATCAGTTACTGTCAACTTCCCTGTGTCTTTTTGGCTAGTTCTGTAAGACGATACTGAATGCAATAAACTAACATGTGATGTTTAATAATGTTAACACTCTCTTTACGATATTGCTATTTATAAATAATACTTGTTTTCCACATTTCACACAGTTCTCGAACTACTTTTCTAAGAGTAGGTAAAAATAATATGATAACAGTACCAATCGGATTAACCTTTGTTGACTTTACGATAACAGTATCAGAGGCTCCTGCAACTTTTGCCTAAGCCTTTGTTAACTGTCTTAATACGATAACAGTGCTAGATGCTCTTGTAGGTGTCTCCCAAGTCTTTGTTTACTGTCTTAATACAATAACAGTGTCATACTCTCCAGCAGCGGTTGACTTAGCCTTTATTGTCAGTCTTAATACAATAAAAGTGTCAGACACTCCAGTAACAGTACCTTTAATCTTTGTTGACTGTCTTGTCCATAACACGAAGTTCTGGGTTAAGGCATGTATTCTATTTCAAAATGTGTTTGTACTTCTTGAAGGCTTTTTAATACTACGTTTAACTGAATGGTTGAAGTCGTAGTACGGGTACCTGCTAGTGTTTATATGTGTATGCGTGTGTGTATGTAAATGATGTTCATGTCAACAAAATTAACTTAGCTTGGAAAAAAGTTTAAAGTTAAAACATGATTTAACAAGCACAATACCTCCACATTTTGTTTGAAATGCATGCCAAAATGTAAGATGAGTTGCTCAGAAATGAACTTAAGTAACAATAAAAACAAACGGCCACGAACATAATCCTTATATAACACGTTAAAATCTGAAACAGGAAAAAGTTATAGAGTTTAACTACCTAGTTTCCCTGGTAGACTTATGAATAATGCTCGCTAAAATTCCAGAATATTTAATTTTTTAATATAAGAAAGGCAGCGTTTCTACTAAAGGGAATGTAACATTCGATTTTTTTTAGTTTCATTGTATCTAAAAGAATATGTTTCTTTAGGAAAACTGGCACTTTGAATAAAAAAAGAGTAAAAACAATATCATTACAGAAAACAAAAAAAGAACAAAAAGTGATACAAATTAGATTGTATATTACTAAAATGTTTCCAGCGTGACCACATGACATTTTTTGAATTTTACAAGTCGTTTCTCTCCCTAATTTCTGTACTCTTTATTCAGTAAGTTTAATCTTCAGACGTCATACTGCTAATCGTGAAAAAACACGTTGATACTTTAAGTTTATTATTTACTACCAAAGCTTCAAATGCCTTAGAAACACGAGTCTCATAAGATTAAAAGTATTTCTTCATGTGATAACTATAGCAAATATATAAAGCGATTCTTAACGTAGCTCCCCCTACCGTTGAGGAAAGCTTCAGTATATAATCTTTGTCGGATTCGTCCAATCAGCTCTCGTCGATGCTTCATTGTTGGCAAGTGTAAATGGAGGTCATCAAGCAGCAAACTTTCTGCAACTCCAGTTGAAACATTACTAAAAGTACCGTTGGTCTGTGGTAAGAAAATATATAAAATTTAGTTATCATTAGGTGTTATTTCACAATTCTTTTTACAAACCCAACCCCAAAGTTTCAAAGAAATAGCCAAACCGACAGTAGCTATTTCAGCAGTAGTTCAATCAGCAAAAACGTTACAAGTAAAATCCAGATGGGGCTACAAAAATAACTACTCCAATATAAGGACAACTAAGTTTAAGGGATCTTGAACGTTTAGGAATATATTTTGTGGAAAAAAAAAAGACACTTGCTGCTTTTATACAACATGAATGAGATACGTATTCAAAACACTAGATCCTTAAAGTGATGGGGGGAAGAAAAATATGTTGTATCTTGTGATGATTTACGAACACTACAATATTTTACAAATATAATCATGTTTTTCATTAATATGCCAACTCATGGTCACTGTTAATCTACCTTTTTATGCTTCTTAGATGTTCGAAATATGTGTTTGTTCTAAATTGCACTCACTACACATCGTCGATTCAGGGAAGGTGGAACTCGCAATGAAAAAAGAAATAATTAAACATCAGTAGATAGTGACAGGTCCTCCGTGGGAAAAAATCCAGCTTCAACAATTAATCGAATGAAGGAGCAACAGAGAGATGGCTTCAGAGGGGCATCCAATATGGTAAATTGTTACATGTCTGCATGTTAAGTTACTTCTCTATAGAAGTTTGACAGGATTTAATAGATATGTTGAAAGTATCATATGGCCTGGCTAACATCATACTGGGTTATTTCATTCGACTTCCACAAAAAAGGCTTACTTTATAAGCCATTATGAAACTAAACTGATTAAAGGAAATACACGTATCTGGCTGGTTGATTGAAACTACTTCTAGCGGTTTACTAATTCTAATTAGTCACTGGTTAGTGGTTATACAAGATTAGGGCGCTAGTATTATACGGGTTGAAAATGCGACGTTAGGTGACGTTATTACTGACCTTATTAGGTTGATGAGAACTTACATTGCTCGAAACTGCAAATGCTCATAATATAGGTTTTAACACTAAATAAGAGGTAATATGTTTCAGATTACAGGTGATAATTAGTTTGTTAACACCAGAAACAAAATTGATGCACACCTCATTACTTATGATTTGACTGTCCTTCACTATTAACTCTATTTACAGTTACTAGCGGGTTGGAGTATCATTATGTTACCACTTAGCAAATTTGTAAGCAATCTTTTATTAGAAGCAGGTTTGGAAGACTGCCTAACACAGTGTGGGTTTTAGCGGAGATTGTAACTCCTTTTATAATTTTAGTAACATTTACCGAAGAGAGGGATATTGTAATACGTCTTGTTGATAAAGGTTTGCTGTGGTTATGTTCCGAGAACTCGTTCTCCATATATTGAAGGTTATAACCTCGACAAGATGAAATATGTAAACAAAGCGAATGTATTCCAATACAAAAAAAGTATTCCTAAAGTAGTTTCATATAATGGTGAGACTAGAGATTATCAAAACTATAAACGAATAACAAGAACAAAACATATATATCTATCAAGCACTATAGTAGGTTGATTGATATAGAAAAATGTTTTCAGAATATAAAAACATATAAATGTATATATTTATTTAATCCAAAAACAGACCGAGAAACAGGTCGTTTTGTAAAAGTAACGTACTTAATGTTTACTTGATGAATTCATACAAAATGTTGAGTTTATTAGTATGGGAACCAGTAGTTATTTGAAAGGGAAACAATAACCACATATTGTATAAAATATCTGGTTGTAGGACAACTGCCCCCCGCAGCCATATCTTCTTACATTAATATGACTGACTAAAATTGGAAAAATAACACATATTTCTTATAGTTTATAGAAGGACGAGGCAGTTGTCGTGTTACTAAAATATCGATAGAGTAATAAAGAACAAAAGCATCTTATTGTATAATGTTTGACTATCGACACTACATAGAGTTTAAAAAAATAAAATACCCAAGAGTCCTTAATGTAGAGTTTGTCCACTTCCGACAATGTCTTCATGTCCGCGTTGGTTGGACCTGCTGTCTTAAGAGCTAATTTTAATAAAGGACCACTAAGTCTTTCAGTATAAACCTATAAAAGAACACAAAACCTTAAATATAAATTGAAATGAACAACAAAATTTTTAAACTCGATGAGACATGAGTGTCAAATTTACTCTGTATTTTCCCTGTTTAAATCAATCTGGCAGATTTTCGTTAACGTTTTTGCCTGCACTTTGTCTGAAGCCTTTCCTTAATATTCTTACCTGCACTTTGTCTAAAGTCTTTCTCTAGAGAAGTTGTTATAATTTGATTCAAATCGCTGATAAAAAAACCTGCTTCATTTTTTACTCAAGTAGCTTTGATTTATCCAAAAATTTGACGGTGACAGGATACTAACTCTTGTGTCTACCAAAAATTCAACATGTTAAAATATCTAAACTGTGAAACGTAACATTTTAGGTAAAAACGTTAATGAAAGGCTTTAGACAAATTTTCAATACTTCAAAAAGTGAACAGTGGTACTTAAACGCGTTTAGAATAATAGTTAACATAAAAGTAAACATGATACGTAGCCATGTTTCAAACGACAGTAGAAATACCAAATCTTCCTGCAAAAATTTATCAAAAACGCTGCAGTAAACATTGTTACGTAAGTAGTTCATATAACAGTCATTATTAGTTGTAAATTTTCTCTTCCTCACTTCTAGTGAATATAAAATTCAAAATTAATCTACAAGCTAGTCCGCTAAACAATAATGAATAATTAATTGTGACAGAATAGTCACATATTATTCAAATACTCTAAGTATTTCGGGTTATTAGTGATGAGTAAACAAAACTATTATATCAAAAATTACTGTCATCATTGTCCATCGTCTTTCATATGCTTACCTCAAAAACAATGGAAAACAACATTAATGAGTTCTTTATAACAAGTATTATGTAGGCACATTTTAAGCAGAAACTTGGAGAGACTGATTGAAAAGGTTATCTAAAAATCTTTAGGCAGCAACGTTATAACAGTTTTTTTTTAAGGAATATTCTTATGTTAATGGCTTGAACATATTTAACGTATTTCTCTGACATAAATACCTGAAAAATGTACAATGATATTTAGTATTTTCAACCAAATGACACTTTATGAGCCTCGTGAGTTAAACAGCCAGGTCAAAGACTGCAATGTTCAGAAATGACCATTCTTAATTCAGAACTGCTGACCAGTGAGAAGCACAAGCCGCCTATGCGGATACTCTTAACCGAATTAGTCAAGATTAACTTTCTAGCTGGCTAATAATTAAAAGAACTCTACTTTTAACAGTTCAGTTTTATGTGAATGTAACATTTTATACTGCTAACCAAAAGTGCATATCTCAAGGTACGAACACTTGCCCACGAAGTTATGTTTATTTACGTTTTACAGACATAAATTTATAACATGTATTAAAATGTTACAGATTCAAACGCACGTACCGAGTAAGCTACGGATCCATCTTTCCGTGGACTTAAGACAGCAAAGCCAGTTGGGTGACTATTAGAAACATATCTGTCTTCTGAAGCCCTCGTGGTCAAAATGGCCTGAAAAACTAAATCAAGGTTTAAATATCAATGACTTATTTAAAAAAAATCCTAACAATGAGATTTGTAATAAATTTTGAAATCTTAATTATGTTTAAAGAGTGAAATTTCTGGAAATATAGTTTTTATCTGATTCCTAAGGACATACGCTTATTTGAACATTTCTAAATTACTCCAGCTTACACTAGAACAGCTAACATCTTACTTGTTTACTTCTGGTCACGTTTTTGAGGCTTGTTTTTGCAAGCATCTATAATGCTTTCATATTAAAACAAATATGTCGCATCAATTATTTTCACTCAAATTTCTAAAGTTTACACTAAAACAGTATTAAAATTGATGTACTTAATTTTGTTTACATGATTCTTAATCGCTTGACATTAATCAGAAAAATTATTTATCAGCATGCAAAAATTTCGCAAAGGACCATAACTGATGGGGTAAATACGAACTTTTTGATCTCACAGTTCTACATGACATTTCAAACACTTATACTTCGATTACACAATCACCTTGTACTATACTGTGTAATTGTCGTTTTCCAACACATTTACTAGCTTCTTCTTTAACTCTTTTGGCTTCGTCGTCAGCTCGATCTTACGGTTAATGTACCTATTGCATAATATTTCTCCTTTGTTTCTATCAGTTTCGAGTTCTATTGTTTCTTATAATTTATGTAGTTTCCTGCTCTGTGGCAATTATCATGTTTCCGTGTCGGTTCTCTACAAAAATTTGATGAATTTTCATGTTCTATTGCATGTTGCTTCTTATTATTCATTTAGTGTCCCGCTGCACAACATTTATGTTGTTTGTTTGTGGGCCTTTACTCCCTCATTCAGTTAAGTTCATGCTCTACTGCATGACCTTTCATAGTTTGTTTTCTACTGACAGTCAAGAAACACGATTATTACCTTTCTGTTTCTATAAATCATGTGGCAGACAATTAGAACTATTATTGCCTTTACGCATTTTAATATGAGTTACATTTGTCTTGTCGTACAGTCTGAATATCATATGAAAAATAATGTAGTGGCATACGATTTAACTTTAATCAACAAATTTTGGCTAAACCTCCGAAACGAAACTACATTATTTAAAAATACTTAATTTTTTTTCAGAAATTGCCTAGTATCGACTTTTCTGACCAGTCATTGGTTTAAATGATAGAAAAATACTTGTTTTTCCAAAGAACTAAATGGATAATTGGTATTAATTGCAACATATGCTACTGCACTTGTTATATGAAACATGTAAGTAATAATAAGTTAGTTAATAGTTTATCTTAGTCTTATGTTTCAAATACACAAAGAAAAGCAGACAAAGAAAAATAGTTAAAACTGACTGTTACAAGTCGTCTTGGGCAATATTCTTCCGCTTAGCACACGAACGCCATCTGCAGACGTAATCTCTAAGATAAGCTTCCCTCGCGAAAGCATGGATTCATCGCTTTTCGTCAGGTCAAATCTGATTTCTGCAGCATTGTAGTCCTAGCAGAGAAAAGAAAAACCAAGCAATTTGTTTTTATTTCTAGTATTTTTTGTCTATTTGAAGCCTTAATAATACTTATGCTAACGGTGTTAGGCTTAGTGATCTAATGAAAATAGCTGTGTAGTAAACCTTTGTGTATTATGTTGCCTTAAAAGTTCACAAGGAAAAAAATGGAACTTTTACTTTTTACAGTAACTTCGGATTATAAAACAAATTACTGAAGCTTGTTTATATAGATAAGCCATATAAATCCATAATTCCTTCTCCTCACTCACTGTGCTATATTTTCACAGATAAGCCATATGAACCCACAACCCCTCCTCCCATTACTTATTATAGTTTCTTTACACAGATAAGCCATGTAATCGCATAACTCCTCTCCACACTTACTGTAGTATGCTTACACAGATAAGCCATGTAAATCCATATCTCCTTTCCTCACTTAATGAAGTTTGTTTACATAGATAAGCCATGTAAACCCATAACTCCTCTCCACACTTACTGTAGTATGCTTACACAGATAAGCCATGTAAATCCATATCTCCTTTCCTCACTTAACTAAGTTTGTTTACATAGATAAGCCATGTAAACCCATAACTACTCTCCACACTTACTGTAGCTTGGTTATATTTATACAGATAAGGGATGTAAACCTATAAGCCCCTATTCTCACCTTACTGTAGTTTGTTTACACATATATGCCATGTAAACCCAAATCTTATCATTTCCTCACTTACTGTAGTTGGTTTACAAATATAAAGTATGTAAATTCTTCCCCCTCTTCTAATTTACTGGAATATGATTTTAAATATTGAAATATTTTATTGTACTCTTACAATAACTTATGCAATTAGAAAAAAAAAACAGATTTGGTCTTTATGCTCTATGCCTCTTAGCTTATTTAAACTTCACTGACCAGCGTAACTATGACTGTCAGTGGATTAATAACATCAAAAACATCCTGACGCGTTTAAAATCTGTTATTATTGTCTTTAAACTAACAAGTATTACAATCATCCAGGCCTATATTGCTATTGTAACAATGTTGAATTCTAAACTTACATATATGATTTTCATATTCTCAAGTACAGCAGAAATGTATAGGTAGTAAGTATATGTTTAACAACAAAACGATGATAAACTGGATAAACCAACTGCGCCGCTGCTTTTACTTAAAATGCATCACCTCAAAAACAGCACCAAAGTTGAGAAACTTAATAAAACCATTATAACACACAGCTTTTACTTAAAATACATTAGTTCAAAACCTTTACTAAGGTTGTTGAACTTAATAAAACCATTATAATACACAGCTTTTACTTAAAATACATTAGTTCAAAACCTTTACTAAGATTGTTGAACTGAATAAAACCATTATAATACACAGCTTTTACTTAAAATACATTAGTTCAAAACCTTTACAGAGATTGTTGAACTGAATAAAACCATTATAATACACAGCCTTTACTTAAAATACATTAGTTCAAAACCTTTACTAAGATTGTTGAACTGAATAAAACCATTATAATACACAGCTTTTACTTAAAATACATTAGTTCAAAAACTTTACTAAGATTGTTGAACTGAATAAAACCATTATAATACACAGCTTTTACTTAAAATACATTAGTTCAAAAACAGCACCAAAGATATGGAACTGGATGAAACTATTATAACACGCCAGTTTTATTTATTTATAATAGAGGGTGATTGTGAAGAACTGTTCGTAGTTCAGCACATCATATCTCACAAACAGTATGGTACAGGAAGGAGAAAGTGTACAAGGGTGCTGAGGATTTCATGCACATGCGAATGCCACAGTTCTCACATGTTACCACCAGTAGTGCCTCTATGACCTATTGTCTGATTAATCACAGCAACCGTTCAAAATGTGCTCCTATAGCATCCAGAATGCATTGCATCCATGTGACAATGTGTTAAGTTCGTCTCCTTTAGTGTTTGAACTTGATGCAGCTTGTAAAGAAACGCTTACAAAGTTGACCGAAGAGCTTTACAAAGAGTTGAAATTGGAAAATTCAGACACCAGACAACATAAAACGCACTGCTACACCCATGTACACTTTTATGTGTGTGTGTGTGAACTTATGCACAACAGTACTAGAAAAGACACTCTGCAGATGTTGTACACTGTAATATTACCTGAGAGCTGCTTTGACATTGCATGCTTTGGTGTAACAACATTTAACTAATTCACCTCTCTGCATACTTGCCAGTTTCATGTTGGTTGAATGAGCTGCTATGCGACCGACAGGCCCATTTATACCCATGCGATGTATGTAAAAGAAACCACAGTGGCACACCTGGTGGCAACATGTGACAACTGTGTGACATTTTCATCTGCATGAATTATATTCGTAACACTCCTTTGCAATTTTATCATTCTATGACATATCATTTCTGACATATGATGCATTAAATTGCAAAACTTTCTTTATAATCACCCTGTACATGACTTTAAATACAATACAAAAGTTGAGGAACTGAATAAATCCATTATAACACACAGATTTAGTTGAAATACATTGCTCTAAAAACAGAACCAAAGTTGTAAAACTGGATAAAGCTATTACAAAACACAGCTGTTGATTAAAATACACTGCTTCAAAAAGAGCATTAATGTTGAGGAACTGGACAAAATCATTACAACACGCCACTTTTACTTAAAATACATTACTTCAAAAACAACAAACAAGTTTAGGACGTGGATTAACACACAGCTTTACTTCAAATACATGGCTCTAAAACAGCACCAACATTTAAGGATTGTTTTTTCTGTGTTTTCATGTAATAACGTTATACAGTTTATATTGCTCAGACTCTAAAAAGGTTTCAGTCAACAAATGGAAAGAATATAACGTAATGGTTTTAGCTGAGTGGGTAGTACTAGTATTGAGTTTCCAGTGGACTATGGCTGCCTAGTGTTATGGTGACTGAGGTTTCGGTCTCAATACTGACACCTTCATAATGACCCAGCATCGAGACCAAAATGTCGTCCACCACACTCTGGATAGATGTAGTCCATTGAAGATTCTACCACAGTTATATACTGTACCAGAATATCAGACCCTGCCAAATAAGCTAACTATAAATTCATAAAAAATTCAAACAAAAAAACACCATCTACAAGTTTCGACTGACATCAGCCAGTTCTCATCACGATAATGAAGAGTTACAATAACTAGTGTTTTGCAGTTATTTATAAAGAAATAACTCATATTACTATTACGTATGGTACAACAATGAAATCAATAGACATGTTATGAACATGCCCTGGTTTTCCATTAATTGTCTTGAAGCCAGGGGGAAGAGGACAAAAGCGATATTCAAAAATCTATGTAAACCTAGTCCCTTGAAATTATTCATACCCTTCTTTTTTAATTTTCAGTAGATTCACAAATATTTGTGTTGATCAGAAAATTTTGGTTCCGCAAGAGTTTGGATTCATCTCATACTGAATGCCTATGGTTTAAGACAATTAATGAAAATCATGTGCATGTTCATGACGTATGTATTTATTTCATTGCCTTACAATATGTAAACGAGATACGTGTTATATTGTAAATAACAGGAAAACTGGTGATATTGTTACACTGCATTATCTTTATGATGACTGACTAATACAAGTCGAAATTTGGGGATTATGTGCTTTTATATTTTATGTGTTTATTTTCCAGTACTTATTCATGCTTACAATACTGTAGATGTGTGGATTTTGTATTAAATTTCACATGAACTTCTTATCCATTTTCATAAACTTTTGTTCTTGACCTTCACTCAAAGGTCACACAGCTTGTGACGTCGAACTTACAGTAGTATGTTGAGCAATTTGTGTTTTAGGGTTTGAGTCAATATTTCCTCAAAGAAAAACTGTCAATTTTGGGGACATAGGAAATATTAATTGGAATTTTCATCCATGTGCATCGTTTTACCCCCGCCCCCACACCCAAATTCTACAGGTAGGTTCTTCACAATATTAATAACTCTGAACAAACTAAACTCCACTTGAGTTTTTAGCTAAAGACTTGATTTAAACTCAAGTATTTTAGTAAATATGTTATAACTAACTGATAAAATATAGTCCTGTACTTCGATCATCTTAGTAAACAAAAACCTCCACAGACATTATTTCAATCACCATAGTAATTTGAAACTTCTTACAGCATTACTTCGAATAACTTTGAAAACTAAAGCACCTAAGAGCATTATTTCGAGCATCTTAGTAACAAGAAACATCTAACAGCATTAGTTCGAGCATCTTAGTAACAAGAAACATCTAACAGCATGACTTTAAACACCTTAGTAAATAGAAACCTCTGACAGCATTACTACATTATTATCTGAATATCTCAAAAACATTACTTCAATCACCTTAGTAACCAGAAACTTTCGATTGCATTATTTCCAAAATCATAGTAACTAAAAACTCTTAACAGTATTACTTCGATCATCTTAGTAACCAGAAACTCTCAAGAGCATTGCTTTGTTCAGTTCAGAAACCAGAAACTCCCAACAGAGATATACTATTTTCGTAAGCATAAAAAACTGCACTCAGAGATTTTTCATTTAAGTATCAATAATGTACGGAAACAAGTTATTATATATATACACATGGCTATCTGTGCTTGACCACAAGTAGTATTGAAACCTAGTATCTAGTGTTGTAAGCCTTCAGATTTACCGCCGAGTCATTAAATTCGTTACAACGCGTGCGATGTTTACAATCCTATTCACACTTGGACAAAATATAGAGTATTGATAAGAGGAATGATGAAGGTTTTTGTTGTTATGGAAGGGTTATCGCAGTAGCATTCTCTTACCGGATCGACCTTGGATAGAATGTGGAAAGTCTCAGTAAGCAGTTCTCTTGTGCCTAACGAAGTCTCTTGATGTAGACGTATCAGTACATTCACATTTCTTGCATCTGGAGGGGAAGGTATTTAATCTACGTGGTTAGCTGATTTGAACATAGAAATAATGTCATTAACGATAAGGCCTAATTAGCCACAGTGTAAAATGACCAGTTCTCTTACAGAAGTGAATTAGCCTATTTTAGGTTTTATTCGTTTTCTAAAGAGATCATTTTAATACAATATCTTTTTATATATATATATATCTATATTTAAACTAACCTTAACCTTAATATATTGCAATATTGTAACAACTGACTTTTTAGTTTAGAAAAATAATCAGTAATCTTAACAGAGACAAAAAAATCAAGGTAGTTTATAACACAAGATCCACAAAACTTTAAGTCAAATTGGAAAAATAATCACTGAAATGACGAAGTTTGAAAGCTAGAAGTACAACCTTAAGAGTAATTACTATTTTTCTTACTACAAACCTAACATAATGTCCTAGTAATCTTAATGTTATAGTGATATATATATTTATATCGGCACTTGTGTATAATGTTAAAATAATAGATATACAAAGTTCAAATCAATACACAATTAAAATCATTTCAAACTATAGAGCAAAACATTTGTTGTTTTTTTATAACTTTTAAATAAACCAGTAGTTAAACCTGGAATATATGGTAACACTAAATATTCCTTTTTAATTTTATCATATCTTGGTTTCAATGTGATACCTTGATCTATTTGTTGCCACATTAGTGGATTTATTATTGATTAGTGTGACACGTCGAAACATATATAGTCATTATTTTGAAACAGTTTTAATTGTGTATTGATTTTAACGTTGTATATTTATTATTTTAATGTTATAGTATAGGCATACTACACGTTTCATACTCCCTAATTTAATATGAACCTCCAGGAAAGGCGGCATGAACACACTTGTCTTTGATTTTTCGTGTGAATAAATAATGGATGTCTTACATTGTAATACACTCTATCCAGTCTCTTTCATTCGCAACTCAGTCAAAATCAGAGTATATAGTTTAAATCTACATAATTTTATACTGAACTTACCTGGTTACTTTAAAGGAAATCAATGCACCTGAAAATACCAAAGACCAGTTAGGAATGAGAAAATTTCGGTGCCCTGACCACAAAATGTGTTTTTGCAGAGTTTTCTGTTTGTCTCTGATGAGTGTATTTATCTGTGGTATTCTACACTCCTGTGTTATTCAGCTTAAAGCTTTATACTTGAGGAAATGACATTTTCCAAGACTTAAAGGACTTATGACCAAGATGAAGAGTTAGTTACTAAGAGTGGACAGCTGTTTGAGAAAACCTTTGGATTTTAGAGAAGGCCTCCTCTGAATGTTAGACTTTTTCCAATGCTCGAAGGTCTATTACTTCTTTCTCCTCTTGGACACAGACATGGGAAGGAGAACTGTTGGAATCTGGTGCAAACAGAATGACTGATCCAATTTTCCGCTGAGGACCAACCTCAATGCTCATGAGGCATGGTCTACTGAGGGTGATCGAGGAGGCATATAGTCTGACGAATCTGATACTGAATGGGACTGTTTCTATAAAACTACCAGGCATTTTCCAACTACTGTAGATAAACCCAGTTCTAGTCAAAGCCACTCAAGACCAGCCAAGAGAGACTGTAGGTGTCACTGGTGGATGACATCTGACAGTCCGAGCTGTTTTGCCAGTAGATGAGACAGTGGGATTTGACTGGTATAGATGTGGAACCACAGGGTAGTCATGAGCCACTCCATAACAGGAGGTATATTACCAGGGCAATCATCGTTTGTGCAGATGAGCTGCCTGTGGTAACTTGTCATTCTGCCATCCAATGCTTTCATTAATATTGGTAAGAAAATGCTTCAGTTTTGACACTGGGATATTCAGTAGATAGAAGATTTTCATAGGAGAGATAAGCATAATGGATAAGCTCCCGCTGCATTTGGGAATAAACACAGTTTACTTGTTTTTGATAGCAGTAGTGAATAATATTTGGTTGGATCAAAACTGGAATATTTATGAGTGGCTGAAATTATCTCTAAAACGTGACATTCACAAACACTAGCCGAATGTAAATTTGGTTAAGATTGATTAGTTTCAATCATGCGGATTGAAATAGTTTAGAGTGCAAAATATTACTGAATATTTTCATAACATTGTTTCAGTACAAGGTGCAATTGAAGTGTGATGTCAGCATTATTTGATTCACATGGTCAGACGCTAGATGTTAGCACTTGTATGATGGCTAGCCTTTTTTGACTATTTGAATAGAAACCAGTATCGGTAATCTCATGTCCATTTCTTTCCTACTGTAATGAAGTAAGAATGTAGCTAGGTTCTATAGTAGCTGCTTAGCTGTTGCCATTCCCATCACAACAGTGAGCAGCAAAGCTGAGTTTTGGTGAAGAGCAAGATTTGATGAAGCTGAGATGGGCACAGGTACAAGGGATTGTGCAACATAAATGGGAGTACAAGTAAACTGTAGAATGCCACTTGACCACGTCAACAGTTTTCACACTCTGTGCCTAAAAGAAAATTTAGGCCAGAGAAGCATTGTAACTAGGCTATTACAGTTTCTAGCTGAAGTTCTAATACTAAGAATTAGATTACTCTTACATTCCAATGTTCACTTTTTTGTTTAAGATCAAGCTCTTAACTTTCTGGTTATCTTGTTCTCAACTAGCCAGCGGTAAAATTATTTTTTCTTGTTTTTGTCAGTTTAGAAAAATCTGCAAAAACAAAAAAAATAATTTATTCTGGAAGTTATCTCTTCAGGAACTTTCCTACATATTTCATTGCTTCCTTTTTTTCTCGTTACATGTATTTCTTGATACGTAAAACTATAATTTCATGTATGTACAGCTATCTTATTTTTCTTTACTTTGTATTTTTCTTTTACATATACATACAAATATATATATAGTGCTCGTTTGGAACTATAATATATATATATATATGTGTGTGTAAAATGTAAAATATACTATAAAATGACAGTATTTTAGTCATCTGTAATCACTTGTAAATATGTATATGTATATATATATATATATATTTGTATGTTTTATATTATTTATGTGATTATGGGATATGTTACTGTATTTAGGATTTGCTTTTTATGTTTTAATTTTATCAAAATATATTCACTGAGAGTTCTCAGACTTCCAATAAAGATGCCATAAACACATTCGTTTGCTCTACAATTGTTTATATGAATACATAAAGAATGTAAAGGTTGTTTTACGTTGTTACATACTGTTTCCAGTGTCTTTCTTACACAACTCATTGAAAACCAGAGAATGCAGTTTAACTAACCCTGCATAACATTTTCTGCTGAACCTCCTGTCATTCTTCGAAACCTAATCATTTACTCCAAGGTAATTCAGTGCACCTTAGGATACTAAAATGCAATAACTTAGTTAATCCTTTCTCTTATTTATGAATATTGACGGTAGTTGCTCTTTATCCAGGGTAACCGACATCTTAAGAAATTTCAAAGGTATTATTAGTTTTCAATAAATTTGAATATTTCTTAACCAATAACATTTTTAAGTGGTTGCTACATTACTAATGTGATAAACAACTAGTTAAAGAAGAATCACAACATATATAATCGATTTAAGTAACATTGCTACATAATGAGCTATTTATCTGTGCAAAGCGTGAATCGAGCCTCGGATTATATCATTATAAGTCTATAAAGTTATCGCTGACCCACTATGATATTTAACAATAATTATACATTTTGATATTTTTTCATCACCGTAGAACGGTCAACTCAACGCAAATCTAATTTTCATTTATAGCAGGGTACTTATAAATACAATACTTCGATCATAATGTGTTCAAGTAAAATTATGTCCAATCTTATACCTTAACAATACTATACAATTCGTTTACTCTATACGTTTTACAAATATCGCATCAATTAATTTTTCGTAACAGTAAATAACACGTCGGATCAAAAATGTGTTTAGTAAATAACATTAAAAAATGAAACGTTAGTACTTTCGACAGGGGGGGTCTGTGTTTTACAGGGAAGACAGCTACACCAACTGATTGAGTATTGACATAACAACGAATAAAAAAAAGAAAGAAAAATGTGACCATACCTTCATGGGTGAAAATACCGTTGAATTCTAAATTAAGATACATTTTTTCCTGGCCAAGGAACACGGATGCGATACCACCTCCTCCTATAGTTTCACGTGAACGTGATACATCTGGAAGCAGCACTGAGCTGTAGACCTCTGAGTGATTAGTATAAAACTGTATTACTATTTCTGCAGATGTTTATTAAAACATGCGATTTACTTAAGCACTGTATAATCTCACAAAATAATCGGCAAACGAAAAAGTTTATAAACAGTTTATTGTTGGTTAATAGAAAATCTAGATAAGTAAAATTTAAACTGTTATAGCATATTTGTTATTTATATGTTGGGTTTCGATATCCGTGACGGGCAGAACACAGAGAGCCCATTATGTAGCTTTATGCTTAACAAAAACCAAACAAACAACCAATTTGTGTGTTAATATATTTATTGGTTACTAGAATTAGAATCATTTGTTTTGTTTTTTCTTTTTAAGCGCAAAACTACGCAATAGGCTATTTGCACTGGGTCTACTGCAGGGAATTGATTCTCTGAATTAGAATTAATGTCATTAAAAAGTCGAAAATACTCTAACTTTAGGCTATCATTAATCTTTGAGATCAGCCGAAAAAACTATAGAATTATTTTATAAACTGCATTAGTATTTAAGATTTGGGACTATTATTCTGCAAGAATCTTTTATCACACCACACGATTGCGATGAAAATAATAGACATATATATATATATATATGAGATGTAATATGACATCGTATTAAACTATATATGAGATGTAATATGACATCGTATTAAACTATATATGAGATGTAATATGACATCGTATTAAACTATATATGAGATGTAATATGATATCGTATTAAATTATATATGAGATGTAATATAACATCGTATTAAACTATATATGAGATGTAATATGATATCGTATTAAATTATATATGAGATGTAATATAACATCGTATTAAACTATATATGAGATGTAATATAACATCATAATAAACTATATATGAGATGAACTATAACATCATATTAAACTATATATGAGATGTACTATAACATCATATTAAACTATGAGATGTAATATAACTATGAGATGTAATATAACATCATATTAAATTATATATGAGATGTAATATAACATCATAATAAACTTTTGATGCTCTCAAAAATGTTGGCTTTCATCATCTAATAAGTACACAAAAAGTACGTTAATATCTTTAGTAATCTGGTATCCCTAACTTGAACTTTTCATATATTCGAATTATTACTTTGTTAAATATTTACGAAAACTTTTATTAATATGTTAATTTAGAATTATAATCACCTTATATTTACTAGTAGTAAAGTAACTGATCATAAAAATCCATTTTTAAATTGACTACAACCAAATCCTACATTATTCAAATACTATGACATTATACAATATATATAATGTTTCGATATAACACAAAAATTAACAATTCGTCAACGTTTCTTCACGAGCATATTTATAGTATGCATTAAAGATGACCAACAATACTAAATAAAAAAGCTTATTTGAATACGGACAGTGTTTTACTTTCGTCCTTATAGCTTTAAAGGGCACGTGTTCAAGCGTTTTACTTTTCGTGGAATCAAAGATAGTTTTTGTTTAACTTATTGGCCCAAACAATTTGTCTTTGAACTTCAAAAATTCTCTTACTCTAAAGGAAAATAAACATTTATAACTAATAAACAAAAACCAGGAAAACTCCAAGTAACTTTTCGGTATTTCAAAATTTCAAATGAAAACGTAATTTTCTTTTATAGCTTTTAAATACAGTAACGAAGACTATGTGTTTTTTGTTGTTGTTGTTGTTTAATAACCAGTTAACATAGCGGTCTAAAACTTCAGTTTTCTTATTTTGGCCTTTACTGACTTTAACTAAAGCACAAGTATGTACTAGGAATATTTTATTGAAATGTCAAATTAGTTTTGGGTTTTATAATGAAATCAAGTTAGTTTCGGGTTTTATCGTGAAGTTACTTGCAGGTCAGCTCATGTAAAATATGATAAAACCACTGTTTCTTGTAAAGCTATATTTCGGGCTAAAGTTTACTTGTAACTAGCTGAAAGCTTATATATATATATATACAAGCATGACTAAAAGTAACAATATAGTGTCAAGCAAGAACTAAAAGTTAACCTCAAATGATAATATTTAATCATTTTATTTCTTAAGAATATGGACTTCACTTATAAGTCCCTTTCGTGTCAAGTTTTTACTATCAGCAGATTAAATTGGAAGAAATGATTGCGGTAATCACGTTCTAAATCAGATTAAACTATGCTTTTGAAATGTGGACAAAAGATTTATGAACAGAACATTTAGTTGTTTCAGGAAAGAACAATCTGAAACTATGCTTCTGTCTAAACTCACTAAAGCTTCTTGGTTATAAGGAGTTTCTCGACGGGGAATTCGATTTGTCTTCACTGAAATGACAGCGACATGGTAGCACTTAACCTCTGTGAAACAATGTCAATGTTAAATAAAATAACACAACTATTATTACAAATACAGCGCCTTTATTATACGGATTTATTTATTTCCTTTTTCCCTCAAAAATAATGCAAAGAATTTTATTAACATATAGAATAAGCTAATACAATACATATATATGTTTAGCTTGATGCATGTTAATAGTGTAAATCTCTCTCTATATATAATTTAATAGCTGGAGTACCCGTCCAACGGAAGGGTGAAATAACAACTCGTTTGTAACAAAGGATAGGAAATTGTGCTTCTACGTTTGTTTGTTTTTCTTAACATAACAAACATTACAAATGCAATAAAAATACATAAAGGTACCAATACTGAAAAGAAAGACATACCGGTTTCAAGAATTCTAACAATAGTGGTTACATAATTCATTCTAATGCTGAAGGATACACAACATTGATAGTTTTTCCGATGGGATTCAACTTACCGCATGACCTTTCTCATGTCGTCCTGTATCATTGTGTCAAGTTTGGCGCTGATTGATCAAGAAATGTGGAAACGTATAAGGAACAGATCCACACACACACATATTGACGTTTGTTTATATAGATAATATTTGTTTTGTAGTTTTATAGTCTCGTGGGGTAATTTCTTTATGACATTGGTCTTACCTTGTTTAAGCCTCATCTCCTTGGCCCTGACAAATCTGCCAAAAACAAGCCCATCAGGGTGATGGTTAGTTGCCAAGAGAAGGTAGAGTCTTCCCTTCATCAGCTTCCGGCGATAAACTTTAGGAACATCCCTCCAAACACCACAGATCTTGGGAATGACATAAACATTAGGAACATCCCTCCAAACACCACAGATCTTGGGAATGACATAAACATTAGGAACATCCCTCCAAACACTACAGATCTTGGGAATGACATAAACATTAGGAACATCCCTCCAAACACTACAGATCTTGGGAATGACATAAACATTAGGAACATCCCTCCAAACACCACAGATCTTGGGAATGACATAAACATTAGGAACATCCCTCCAAACACTACAGATCTTGGGAATGACATAAACACAATTTTTTATAACTTTCTTTATACACATTCTCTGATTAAGTAGTAACCAGCGATATTTTCCAGCTGTACAGAAAGTTTGAAAAGGCTTATAGACTGAGAAAACAAAGAAGAATTCATACACTCAAAATTTATATATTTTACAAAATTCTATAGGTTTAGTAAAAACAAAAAGCTCTTTATATTAATTAAGCACCAGAGAAATGATGGTACTGAGGTTAGAAAACTACCACTTTTTATGAGTTTAATGTAGTATAATTAATTATACATCCAAGTTCTGATTTTTATGACTATAATAAAGGTAAAACAAACTTTGGAATCTTCGATGTGAAAATTTACTTCTGCCACCTTGTGTTCTTCGAGAATGTTACGATTTTCATCTGTAAACCGTACCCAAGTCGGTCGTTCCATTCTGAAGGAAGAAATATACAACAGGCATGATATCACTGTCGTAACTGCTAAGACGAATAATATGCTTTAATAACTTAATAACACATATTTGCAGTTTTGCTTGACTACGTAAAGGGCAATGTATTAACACTGAACAAAGCTTCGTCAATGAAGTCTTCAAAATATAATATACACCTCGTTGTTTAAACGTGGGAATTACTTTACCTTGTTTTATATTTTTGAGATCTTTGACATGTTACTTTTACAGTATTTGACTAATCCTGATCTGTTTACTCTACCCGTAGAGATGGCTCCACAATCGATAACAACGTTAGTCGGGTAGGGTGTCAGTAACCCAACCAAATAGAAATTATATCGGTCAAATTCACCAATGCTTTAACACAATAAACATTAGTGTTACGAAGTGCACTAGCCTGGTGACAGTAACAAATAAATTACATATACTCACTTCCACGATGAAAACTACTACTGAGGTAATATATAATTATGATAACATTAGGCTTAGTTCAGGTAGAGTTTTATACTGGGTTGACATACTTCAACATATCCTTCAAACAAGTGCTACGTGAATGAAACAAAAACATTTAAAATGATTAATATTTATGTAAAATTATATAAATATCCATACAATTAACAAACATTTGCTAGTACCTGATGATTACTCCCCTTTTCGTCATATGCGTAGAACCGAGTACTTTATTATTACATTGTTATAGTAGTTGATAATTATGATATTACACACTCACTTTTGTGGAGACTCAAGCTCATAGAAGTATTACTAAGTTAATTCAAGATTTTATTTTTAGATGAATATGTAAATCATCTTTAAAACTCCACTTCCAGTCCCAGGTGTGTACCAGATTTGAAGATATTATAATATCATCTGGTGTTCGAATCCCCACCAAGACCTTAGCGCAGATCGCACTTTGAGTAGTTTTCCATAAAATAAAACAACAACAACAAAAAAAAGCTCCAAAGCATTAGTTTACATAGAATTTATTTTGAATCTGTGCTATTTTGATTAACGTAATACTATCGACCCAGTTATATATCATTGTCTTTTTGTGATAATACTAGGATGTTAATATAAAGATTTTCATCAGAAGGTGATAACTAAATTCATATATAAGCACAATTCAAGAAAGATTAATTTCTGTAAATATAGATTAAACATATTTTTTGGGCAGAGATTATATAGCGTTTAGGATATTCCTGGAATTTATTTCCTTTGTTTAAAATATCATCACAGTGACATTTGATATTTTGAAACGGTATCAAAATACTGCACAAAACAGAAACTTCAAATATGTGTTTGAGAATAATGAACAAAATGGTGATGTCACTAATAACATGCATCTTGTATTGATTTATACATAACGTCATAAATACATCAGAGTTAGAAACAACTCACTTCACGTAAATATACACAAATGTATTCATAAAAGAGGTTTCTCGTTTCAGTTTAACTACGAAGTTTTTACGAAACGTTCACATCACGTGATACCTAATATAAATACGATGATTTTTAATATTACTTTTACTACTGTTTTACGCTTGGAGAGTTTGGCACCAGCCTTGGAACATGATCTTCTTCATCTTACTAGGTCTTTCAAGGGTTGCCTGCACCTTACCAGCTAGGTGTTCCACCTTCTTATTGAATGATATAACGTTGCGGCCTAAAATACGGGTTGCTATTGAATGACCCTTCCAGAATTTCAAAGGTTTTTACCAATGTTCTTTGGATAAAATCTGTCTATAACTTTGTGGTGAAGTTTAGGGAGTCTGTCACGAGTATGATCTTACTAGCTTATGGCCCAACTTCACAAGGCCGCTATAATGCAAATTGAATGCTTGAACTACTGTTTTGCTCTTTTTCAGTTTAATGTTCATTGTCGCTATAATACAAATTTAATTTCTTTAACCAAGTTAAGAATGGTAATTAGCAGGCCTACGTATTTACGTGCTATAGTATAAATCAATGCCAAAATTTGGGGTTCACTTTCGGAGAATCCCCTTAAAAGTGTTTTCGCAATATACCCTACTCCCTAAGGAGTTGAGTGAAAACTTTAACCTTTGTACAAACCTCGGGTCCGAGACGATTCGTTTGGCACTACTTAGAAGTTGGTGAGTCCAGCAGCTTAGTAGAAGGAGTTTGGGGGAAATCCATAGGTTCCCAAGGGGTGGGATTGAATTTTTTTTTACTCTATAAAAATCTCAGGGCCGAGAAGATTCGTTATGTACCACCTAGAAGTCGATACGATCAACGGTTTAGGAAGAGCTATGTAACATACAAACAAGCACTGAATCTTATTATATAGATCATGGCTTATGCTGTTTTTTACATTTCTGTTGGCTTTCTTACAAATGTTGATACCTTGACATTAATCATGCAGGTTAGTTAGGGTTAAAATGGACGAAACAGTAAAATCTAAATATGGTAAGGATCAAATCGGCTTCAAAGATTTTGCAGAACTACAAGCTGAAATTCCTTAAAAAACACTTATAGCAATCATTTTGAGTGTAAAACGAAGACATTAATATGCACTTTAGAAAAACCTCGGCAGGGAGGCTAAGAGTCCCAATTTTTTGGCAGTTGCAGTCCAAAACTTTAAATCAAAGAGACTGATAATTAAGTGTATATGAACTAGCATCAAGGGAATACATAAAAATTAACCTCTCTTAACAGTCCCATTAATTAGGAAGTAGGAAAGTAGTTAGGGCTCTACCCCTGTGCCAAAAGAATGCCGCCTCGGGGGGGGGGGGGTCGCACGGCAATATGGAGTGGGAGGAAGGGGTAAATAGATCATAGTTCCATGAAGTGTCACCAGAGGGGCGTGTTGCTAGAACAGGCAGAAGACAGACAGCATTGCTAGGCATGACGTCATAGTTCTACAAAGTGAAACCAGATTGGATGTTGCTAGGGGAGCGTTGCTAGGCCACTATGACAAGTGGACATGATGAAATCATCATACATGTCTCATCATATAATGAATGCAAGATTTAATTATGTTTTACAGTCAGTTTATGTATAAAACACTTAACTAATGCATTAGCTCTTTATTTAATCATACTTTATTACATTTCCTGACCTTTTACATTCTGAAAAGAATGCTTATTTAACATGCAAACTTATGACAATCTTGCTGTTTCACTAGTTTGTTTTATCTGTATAATTATATTCTTGATAAAATATTGTTTCTTGCGATAAAGGACAATAAAATACACAACCAATTTTGATTTAATATATTGATCATAGTTTTAGTTTTTATATTTAAACATACCTTTTACAATTAGTGTCCTAAAAAAGGATGTAAAAACTCTTATTTCAATGAGACAACTATTACAACATACATATTATCCATTATTTGAATGAGCCAGTTATTATAACCAATAACTTACTTTACATACTTTTAACGTCCTGAAGAGGATTCTTATTTTGCTACAACTAAATATAATAAATGAATGATTTACTGTTTATCCATACACTCCCTTGAAGGTTAAAATTTCATAAAACTTTGAGAGTGTCTAACATTAAGACACTATTTGTTAGGAAATATCACACACATACAAACAGTGTAGGCACTGACATCAAGAAAGCTGTTTATTAGGAGGTCATCACGTGGTCACAGATACAGTGTGGGACTGATATATTTCAACATAACAATTGATGAAAAGATGTGACTTTTGTTCATTAGTCATATTGAAAAAAACATTACAGTTTTGTTTCTACATCTTTTACAACTTTATGTATATTTAAAATTATTAGTTTTTCCAAATGAACATGAGGTCATTTATTTATAAATCAAGTGATTATACAATTCAGTGTTCTTATATAAACTTCACATTTTTCCTTGGTCCAATATACTGTCATACATACTCAGGAAAACATCAAGTACTATAAGAATCATAGTTTATAATTTTATTGGACTAGCTTTCCTAAACATTATGTTCATTCCAACTCAGTATGTATGATTTTATATGGTTTATAAACGATAGTGAACAATCAGTCAAAAGTTTAATCATCTCATGTTAGAATCAAAAAATATAATTAACGGATAGAAAACGATGTTATGGTACAAACTAAAATCAGTGTTGCTCTATATCAGATGAATAACAATAGAACAGGTCATTGAAATACATGACAAAGGTCAGTTCTGAGTTCGCCAAACCTATTTTGCAATACACAGTCAAATCTGGGTCACTCATCCATATATAAACGGCAGTCAAGTCAGTCTACATTCACTTTGAATTCAACATTCATGTGATTATGGTGTCTACCACTGATAACCATGGATAACTCATCTTATGTAAGTATGTTCTGAATATATGTCCGAACTAAATGAAACAACTACTGTTACAGATCTATTTTCATATTGATAATTTGTACTTATATTTATGTAGGATATGGTCCCAGTATCCATCAACTGTGATAGTTTAAATGAATTAGAGAGAAATGTGCGTTTGGCAGAATTTACTTCCTTCCACGTTAAAGAGACTGAAACTTAAAGGCTCTGATTTCTGTAAGTTGTTTTCATATCATTTATATTGGTTAATACGATTTTCTACACTTATATACAAAATGATCTCATTTACTTCTTTATCTTACAGAAACTCAGCAATGAAGGCATGCTCTTCTTGAAGGATAGGAGAGGCTAGTTTTCAATGCTTATACATAATTTGCATATCTGAATTTAATTTTCTTTACAAAATTATATTTATTAATACAATTTTGTCTTTTACATGTTGCTGCTAAACATACCCGCAAGAAAGATGGAG